CTATGTGAATATCGGAGACAACAAAATCCTAAAGACTGACTGTCTGTTTTCAATTATATGGATCTTACCTTATCAGACGCATGAATAATCCAGATTAAACGCAGAAATTGCCTAATTAGTAATGTGGGATAGGAACAAGTTTAAAATTTCTAAATGAACAATTTCACTTTAGAAAGCATGCTCAACACCAATTCAGTGTATAAAATAGACCTTTCCTTTATCCCAAATGCTACCAAATTTCAATTGCCAAATATTACGATTTTTGGTTGGACACAAGAAAATTCAAATCTCTATTTGTAACAGAAACAATAACAACAAACCAAATTATTCTCAAAGAGTACAGTATGTTCACCTCTACTTCTATACAGATGGGTAGAAGTAGAGTGGTAATCCTAGAGTAGTAAGTGGCAGTACCAGTAAGGGTAGATACCCTATTGCCTCAAGGAGTACTACTGTCAATATTTATCTGTTTACAATTTATAAATAAATTAATACTTATCATTATATCAAACTCAGTTAAGCAAATATTATACACAGAAGCTTTTTTTCAGTGTTACTGGCTATTTGCCATTTTCAACAGAACACAGATTCACGACACTGAAAGATCAAATTGTTAAAGGACAATACTGTACGTCACTATCGCAATGGAGAAAAATTAGTGTACAAGGCAAACACCTCATAGGAAGAATGCTGACTGTGCAACCCGAGAGACGTATAACACTTGACGAAATATTAAATCATCCTTGGATGCAGGTACTAGATGTTTACAAAAATATGTAATTACGAACCGTTTAACTTCTTAGCGCTCTTCCCATAAATATTTGTGCTTTGTCACTTTGTTTTTTTATTCTTTTTTATTTTACAATTGATAAAAGATTCAGGATACATCACATAGCGCCGTCTAGACACAAACTAAGCAAATCATGTATTGTGGGTATGAAACAACTCATAAATATTTAAACACAAAAAACAACTACACGTAAACAATCATACTTTTATTATAAATGTTTGTATCGGACGAGAATTGAACCTGCAAACATCGGAAGTAAAGCGGCCGGTATGGTAAATACTTACACCACCAAGCACTTTATATAATAATATAGTAATAAGCACTATAAACCAATTATTGGCGATCACCCTAACAAGAAACATTGTCCATTTTAGGATGAAGATGTTATAATTAGTGTTAATAAGTTGCTCTCGAACACTACACAAATGAAGCTTTTTAGTGAGTTAACAATATCATCGACATCGACATCTGTTTTGGATCAAGAGAATAGCAATTCTGATGGCGTGACTGTGAAATTGGCAGCTACTGGCAAACGAGCGTTAAGTGACAGCTCTAATTCTTCTGAACCAAACCCAAAGAAACTCAAACTAGCAATTGAAGAAAGAAACAATAATGACAGTAGTTCCACTAACAGTTACTGTTCTGGGGAATAATGGCTATATTAGCTAATTTGTGACCTTATGAAAATTTGCTTTTATGTTAGCAATTATGGAAATGTTAAATATATGTTGTTATGTAATGTTATTCCTAAAGGGTATAAAAAAATTCGGAAGTCAGGTAACTCAGGTAGAATACTCATAAAACTGATCTACTTTCACAAAGAATCGAAGTTAAAACTGAAGTAAAATTTTTAACTTTCATATTAAATTATTCACATAACCATACAACAGTTTGTAGGAAGGTTTTTAAAATTTATTTTCCATTTACCACAGTGTTTTCATGAAAACTAACACTGGCTTTCAGATTGGTAAGGGTACCTCCTTTGCAAATAACCCTATATTAAAAACGTGTGGCCATTTTATGATTGTGATGATAAGTTGTTACTTTTTTCGTAATTGTTGATTATTTTGTTAATTGAACCTAAGTCATAAATGAGTTTTTGACTATATACCAGTGTGTTGTCATCCGTGTGCGCTAACCTTTGTTACTTTTGACAAGTACTTAAAATACAGTATACCATTTTAAAAATATATATATGTACAAAAAATTACCCCATAACAAAAATATCTCGAACCAAAATCAAACTAACAAACAGATGCACATGAACAACGTTCACATTCTCAAACGGGTTATTAATAATAATGCTTTAATGTTATTTTAGTTTTTAAATGTTATTGTAATTATAAAAAGTAACGTGCTGAAGTATTCCAGCAACTCATATGGGTTGCTGGAATACTGCATATATGTGCATATATATGCAACATGCTGAAGTATTGCTTATTTTATAAATGTATGTTGCGAATTTAACATGTTTCTTATTATTATTAAAAACTAAGTACTTAATTATTTGTGCTGTGTATGAACAACACTATGAAGATTCTCAATTCCGCCTTTATTTTGTTCATCGTGTCATTATTAATTCAATTCTATTTCTCATTTCTTGGTTTATAATAAAAGAATAAATGCCATATTTTATAATAAAATGTATTTCATTTCAATTCCTCCATACACATAGTATTTACAATACACAAATGTAAATTTTGGGAGCAACCCACAAAGCAAGTAAGGAATTCAGTCTTGATATTTTTATCATAATAATACATTTACTACAGTTTAACATAAAATAATGTATTAAGTTATAATCCCATCAAAAACATAAATGTGAAATGATAGCCGAGTTTAATATTATGATATATGCCTTGATTGTAGACTTCTATGACAAAAGAGATGAGATCTAAATGGGTGCCAAGTTCAATGGTCTGTCCTGAAATGTATTTATAACAATATAAAATATCATTTCTTCTTATAACTTAGGATAATATACTGTAGCCTAAGGTCTAACTTGGCCAGTTCTCATATACCAATTATTACTTTCGATTGCTAGTTACTATTAATATTAAAATAGGAACCGACAAGTAACATGTTTAGAACTTGCGAAGGCTACAGTATATTTCGTATATGAAAACTAGCCAAGTTAGACCTTAGGCTACAGTATATTATCCTAAGTTATAAGAAGAAATGATATTTTATATTGTTATAAATACATTTCAGGACAGACCATTGAACTTGGCACCCATTTAGATCTCATCTCTTTTGTCGTAGAAGTCAACAATCAAGGCATATATCATAATATTAAACTCGGCTATAATTTCACATTTATGTTTTTGATGGGATATCATTACTTTTTGTACATAAATTATACGAGGTACTTATTTATAACTAAATTAATACCAAATTATTTTTGATAAATTACTGTATTTTCGTATATTTACGGGGTATAATTGTCTTTTTTTTGTGTTATTTTCTATATTTTCTTGTAACTTTTAAATGTTGAAGTCCAAAGCCAATTCAGTATCAGGAATTATTGGGCAAATCGGGGCGGTATAACGTCCACAGATGGTTGTACTCTACAATAGAGCTCTCGTGACTTGGATCTAAATTGTTAAGACGTACCTACTCCATCTAAGGTTTTAACTCTGGAGAGTCCAACGTAAACCTGCCCTTTATTAAATATAGAGGAGCCAATGTTGAGAAGAGGACTGCCAAAACTAAGGCCTTGTGATTTGTGGATAGTAATAGCATATGTTAAGCAAATACGGAATTGTTCTCTTTCAACATATACATTATTTAATATCTGAAACTTCGTATTGACACGTTATAGTTCGTAAAGACGATTATGTAACAAATTTACTGTTATCTATTGAATTCTCAAGAAAACAATTTGTTACCAATCAGTTCTCATTCTCGAGTTAACTATACATTCCTACTTATAACTATACTAAAATTGTTATTAATTTTTGGTTTAAACTATTGTCTATACCATACGTATTTACTAAAATAATGTAATAATAATATAACCACAAATATATAAGTATAATTTAGCTAGAAATTTCGTAGCATAAATCGCAACCTTATAGGTTAGATATCGAGAAACAAAACATTGAGACATGAGGGCGGCTGCCATTCGCTCGGACAGGTTCGCGTCAACGTTTATCGCACCGCTCCCACACGGCGCCGCCGCGGCGCCCTATACCGAAATGTCTATTATTTAATAATTATTTATAAAAATAATGATTTTACACCATCGATGTGCGCTAAATATTGAAATAATAATTAATACCAAATCTCAGTTAATAACATAATAAATACGAAATTCGACTATACTCCTAGTTATAAGTACGAGTATATATTTCAGACAGAATCTAAATTATAGCAACTAGTGTTTACCGCTCAATGCAATATTTGAAGTTTGCTAGTTATCGACACTGATGTGAAGGGGTCAACGTAAATTGGTATAGATCGACGTTTTCATACAATATTACTTTCCGTCCAGTACAAGATGAAATTTTTCGCCAGGGATCAATGTCAATTGGTGGCTATCGACGTTTTCATAGAATTTTAGTATTTGTCCAGTATAAGTTGAAATATAATCAATTAAAGTGAAAAATTGTAGTAAAATGATAACAATTTACCAGTTTCAGATTTTTTCCTTTATATTCACCTAATTACCTATCTGCATGCCAAATTTGAACTTCCTAGGTCATCTGGAAGTGGGTTATAATTTTGATCTATAGTTGATCAGTGATAAAAATGACGATTTTTGGACATTAATATCTAAATAACCGTTTGAGATATGTTTATGAAATTTGGAACACATATTTATCTCGCAAGTCTCAATATATGATCCAAATTTGACAGGTTTGTGTGATAGAGTTTTTGAGTTATGAGGGGGTCAAAAGTGGCTCCAAATGGTTCGTGTAAATATACACACGGTGCTGCAAGCCAGTTTACTTGAAACTCGGCTTGACACGCTGCCGCGTGTCTAGATAAAGAAACAATATAGAGAACTAAAATATTAAATAAATAATATAAATAAGAAGGGATTGCTTTGAAAATTATATAAATCTGTAACATTTAAGAAGTCTAAAAAATTATTTGTGTGATTTCTGAAACTATTTATAAATTAGTTATATCTATTCTAAAAAAATATGTACAGAAACTTAAAACAAACGCTGGATTCTATTTAATTCAAATTTAAATAATTATTGTTTTCTATCCATTATTATTTATATCTGCATGCCTATTACAACAATATTCATCAAGATAATTTTAATATCTGCTTACAGTATTACTGCTTGCATTTAGGAACTTGTACAATATATTAGCTACCAGTAGCTATAATTATTGTTAAACGGTATGAATACTTACTAATAGAAAATATATATTCAAATTAAAATATAATCACAATGACATAAAAAAAAATATTCAGAAGATACAAAACATTCAGTATTTAAAAAATAATATAATGTAAACAAATGATTAATGAAAATAATGAAATTAATTGAATTATAATAACTACAGTTTGTGTACTTTATCAGTTGGGCCACGAAAGTATCACAAGACGTACTATATGCCGTTTTCATATTATACATATATTCCTTGATACATCGTTAAATACAATATTGGCCACTGTTCGTTTATTATAGGTAGGCACATTTCTTTCTCAGGTAACAATCATGTGTGATGCCTAGTATCTATATTCTTACATACAATTTAAATACAAACTACACCCAATCATCTTTTTTATAACCCTCTCTTGTTTCTTAACCTATGCATTTAAGTCAGTCTTTCTTTGTCATGCCACAATCAAATTACTATAAATTAAATTCTTAATTCAGAATATTGTAATACAGACTACCACAAAATTTTTGCAGGCTAATCTAGATGAGGTGTGTTTTTAATCTACTTAACATTATTCAACTAAAACAATAAATCAGACCTGCGCTTGAAATGTCATGACTGTCTGATATGCAAATTAATTCAGTTATTTGACCGCAGCATAATATGCATATAAGTTAAATATACTCACAACTCCCTTACATTTAAGGAGATTTAAAATTGATGGAATTCCAAATTATTCTAGCCTACCTACAACTATTCACCACTTACATTCTCTTCTTCAGCCCTACTGTGCGATGGTTCTGTACTTGGATGCTCAGCAATTTCTGTAAAATATATATTTTTTTATAATTAAACAATGGCGTAAACTAAAAATATTTCTATTTGATCCCCTAAATAGTAATTGACAACCTTACCGATATTCCGTAATAAGCTTAATTTATGAGCTGCACACTCACCTAAATAACTCTACTTCTAAATTACTTTTAATGAAGTAACTGAAACAAGATAATTTGACAATCACAGAATGGTCAAATCTGTTAATTATATTTATATAATAAAGAAGTATTTCAAGTTTGTAGCCTGAGTATTTAAAGTATTTAAAACATCTTTGTTACAATTATCTATAATAAAAAAATATAGTACTTAGCAATGCAGTTTTAGTAAATTCAACCAATATACTCAATATTATGCAGACAAAAAAATTCTGTTCTTACCAGCAATTGCTCTGTCTACAGTTTGTTTATCCTTAACAATGTAGACGGCCGTTAGAAGGAAGAATATGCCTCCTAGGACTTCTACGAAGCAGGTCACAAACAAAGCATATTGCAGTGCCTGGAATTGCACAATCTGAGAAGGCATTTCTGACGGGGACGGAGACAAAGATCTCTTGAGACTTTCTGATATCTAAAACAGAATAAATCACATTTCTTCATTGTAGAACTTGTGCATGAACTTTATGACACCGGTCATATTATTTTTAATAATATATTCTGTAGGTTAATTATTAATAAATAATTGGATAGTAGTACCAATTTAACTTTATAATGTTATAAGGACAGGTAACGCGCGAGCGATGGCCCCTGATGCTGTCAGAGGTGGGCCATTTTTGCTTCATTACCACTCTCGTTTTTTAAAACTAATTACTAGGTACTTTAAGCAGGAAGCCTGGTAGACGAGACAGTCTAGTAATTGGTATTATTTATAAGACGACTTGAATACGATTAAATGTACTCACCACTCCAACCAAGTAAGGACTACCAGCATCACCGAACATGTGTGATATGAGAATCTGGAACGCCTCCGCAGTAGAGCGTCGAGGCGGGATAACAACATACTGAAATACCAATAAATGCAGACTTAGACATATTACGATACGTTAGTTACTAATAATACCACTAATTTAACTACATTCTACAATATAGATACTAAAATAAAATGCTGTATGCCCCAGGTAGGTGTCAATCAATGCTGTGTAAAAATCATATTATATATATTTTTTTTTTATTTTTAACCAAAGGTCTTAGGAAATGACAATTTTAGCAATGTTTGGAAAGTGAATAGTTATCACCTAATAGCGTTTCAAACAAACATTCAGTACAAAATGAGCAAGCATTTATAATTAACACCAAAAGATTATTCTAGCTATTTATTCACTTCATGACTTGCATTTTTAGCGTCTATATTGTTATCGCTATTATTTATGTTTATATTGTGTTCTTGTAGCAGCAGCGGGAAAGAAGGAGGTGAAATGATGGGTCCAGATTGTTGCTATGTACATATTTATAATTACGAAATATTTACAATGAATATATAGGTATGTACAAGAAAGTGATTCGGTCTCGAATGACAAGCTTGTTATTCTTCTTGCCCCATCGTAACTAGGCAACGGTGTTGCCGCACGATGATAGTATATTCGCCACACATTTTTATTTCTAATATCAGTTCATACATTATGATGTATGAACTGATATTAGAAATAAAAATTTGAATAAAAGTAATATATCGAAATCTTATCTTCGAGTATACTTGAGTTTACTGTTATATTATCATCATAATTTGTTACCAACCTTCTAATTCTCATTATAAACATACTTTCAAATTATGTTATTTACGCCATCTAGTGAAATAATGGGGTATTTAAATATCATGCTAAAACAATTGCAAGTAAGTATTTAGAATACATGCTAATAGATGTCGCTGTTTCAAGATTTGAAATCAGGTCAATGGCGTCGAATGTCTTACAAGAAAAATATACAAGTATTAAATTACCAAATTCCAATGAGATAGTTTATTATACTTTCGAGAAACAATGTTTACAACCAGACAATACTGAACAATGATAATAGTCTAGGTAATGAGTGACTGATTTCAAATCTACATCTCTATTATATACACAGCAATACAAGCCCAATATATACATACAGTATAGGAAAAATAATAAAAAATAAAATCATGCACCACATGCCAAAACAACTATAAATAATAAAAAAAATCCATTTTCCCACTTCTAGTTGCGATTAGCCTTTGAAAAAAGCTAACAGTCGACCAGAAGCAAGACCGCGGAACACATTTCTTACCAGTGACATATCGGCCACTATTGCCCAGTTGAGATTCAAAGCGACTTGGCCTAGGAAGTTGAGGACGAAGGGCGTGTAGAAATAGGCCTCGGTGAGGAGCATGCCGAGACCGATGGCGGGCGCGGACAGCAGCAGGCCAGCGCCGCAGACGAGGGGGTGCGCGCGCGGGAACCGCTTCTGAAGGGTCGCGCCCAGCCACGTGCCCAGCGGCACGCCCGTCACCCCCGACATCATCGTCACCACGCCGAAGATTAGCGACAACCTTCGTGCAACAATCGCCTCGTCAGTCTCGCCACATCGTACATGCATACATTATGCGTTTAGTTTCTTTCCGTTCGACAGGCGAATGCGCCCTGCGTAGCCTTTCGCATGCTCTCTTTATATATATAGTTTTTTATATTAAAAAGTGAATAAAGTGAAATAAAATAAAAATCGTATGTCGATAGCGTAAGCGGCATTCTCTAAAATATATTAGCGGCATAATGGGATGATTCTGCGGCCTATGGTATTGACGATTAATGTGACTCGAAAGTTTACATGTCTATCTCATCGGAATATATTTCTTGCGACGATTCGAGCCGGTGACCGATTTCTGTTCGTGAATGTAATGCTCGCACTAGTAATCCGCAACACTTCTTGCACTTCAGTTTTAATCATTTACTTCTAGCATGCGTAAATAAAAATCCATTTACTACATATATTTGCGAGCAGCCATGTCGCGTTATCACACATGCGAGCATAACCAGACAGAGAGCGCTCACCAGAACGATATCGGCGACGATGGACCACGTGAGATTGAGCGTGACCATCCCGGCGAATATCAGTACGTAGGTGAGCGCTACGTGCGCCGAGATAGTGATGAGGCCGAAGTAGACGAGCGGCGCGGACGCGAGCAGCGCGAACCCGCAGATGAGCGGGTCGCAGTCGAGCAGGCGCGGCCGCAGCCGCTGCGCGAGCGCGGAGCCCAGCGGCACGCCCATCGCGCCCGCCGACATACCCACCAGCCCGAACTTGTACGATACGCTGTTCCATTGCAAATTTCATACAATACTACTTGTACTCTGCTTTTATTGTGTTCGTTTTGTGCCCTATGTCGAGTCTCAGTCTCTCGCATTCCTAACTGGATAGACTAGTAGGCGATCGATCGATGAACTCTGGTTAAAGATCCTAATTTATTACATGTTATCTAGACAATGTGTAATAAATATGTGACAAAGTGCAGTTATTATCGTTTATGGAAATACTCAGACAGTCATGGATACTTATATTTTATCAATACTTTTATTGGTTATATAAATATACAAAGATCAATGTAATACCAATACTACCGAGGTATAGTATTATACTGGAGACGAAAACCACGTAAAAAACTGGCATAGATTCAATTGAATTATAACTGTATATTTTTATGAACACACATACATACATGCTCAATAAATACATTCTTACTTATTATTTAATGGACATAAATCTGAGGAGTACCGATTTGTTTTTTGCTACCAATGAAATCTAACTCACCTCTCTATAGTGATATCGACGTCGGGTTGCAAGGTGAGCCCTAGATATATGAATTGGGGTCCCCACCACGCGAGGGCGCCTGTTACGAACGCTACGCATGTGAACGCGAGCGTCGAAAGCATGAAAGACCGACTGTAAAGAAAACATATTTAATAAGTCTTAAGAGATTATTGTTTTCAAAGTTTAATGACGAATCATATGATTTACTCATGAACGGGTGCTGCTTGTAGGAAATGGTCGGGTAGTGATCGCACTACGTCTGATTTATTTTGTTACTAAACGGGTGTTATACATTTAACATTTTGACTTATATATTCATGCTGTTTGATAGTTCGTATAATAGAAATTTCGACTTAACAATGTAAAGTTAAAACGTCAATAGGCATGTTTCTTGCTCATTGTAATTGATTAAACTGTATTCCGAATAAATAGTATATTATAAAATTGAGTTTTCAATAGCGTTTAAAATTAAGATTATTTTTCAACTATTCCACTCTAAAGTAGTTAATACGTATTATCGTAAGGCATCGTCAACTACTAAAACAATCTTGCCATCATATTTTTCTGTTTACATATTCATATTACACAACATACAAAAACAACACAAACAATACTGACATTGTTATTTTATGATATGACGTTAAATTTCATTATATAATTTTTAACGATACGCAATATACCTAATGTACGTTTGACTCTTAAATACTCCCAATACACTTTAGACTTTAGTTTGTCACGGACTACTTTACATTGTCTGTGCCAAACTCCGCAGATCTAATCTGGAAACTAATTCAAAGATTCAGGTTGATATTGGATTGCGCCATTCCACTGAAAACGTACTAATTCCATATGCCATGTTTAATGAAAGAACTAAGTGACATTGTTATCCATTAATTTAATTTCAAAAGTACAGTACATTAGGCTGGATTGAAATCAAAATTGAGATTAGACTCAAGAGTAGACCAAATCATTTCACTATCAACTGTGTCTTAATTGAAAACAATTTTTATGTAAAATTTATTTTAACATATGTTTAAATTAAGCAGCATTTGGCTTTTAAAGTTATAATTCCATTTTTTTATTCATGTAATGTATAATTAATTATATTATTATTATATTTTTTGTAAATGAATGAATAACTCATTATTATATTAATTTAAGAAACTTACTTTTTGACAAGCGCTCGTATATCATCTCTGTAGGAAGTCGGTCTTATTTGACTGTCTTCAGCTTGGCCACGTTCGGGATCTATCATTACCCATAAGATAAGTGCCACTGCCACAACACCCATAAATGGAGTCACACGTAAACCCCATCGCCAATTGCCGGCCGCGGCCCCCGCCAATGAGCCCACAATATATCCCATACCACTGAAAAAGAAGTGCAGTGTCATGAAACATTATATCACGAAAGTTTGGTTTAAATAACTTCAAATTGTATGATATTTTAGAAAATCAATATGATAAAAGACTTAATAATTAAAAAAGAAATCTAGTCATAAAGATGATTTATATTAACCAGAATCAGGGATGCCAAACATAGGATGTTTTTGGTTTTCAGTAGAACATTATCACCCTTCGTATCAAGCGTCGTATTTAGCCATTCAGAAATCGGTGATATGATAATGTTAAAGAGCTACGAGATTTTTGATTTCTTCATACGAGAACAAATGTTTTAAGATTTACAACCATGACCAGTACTGACATTAGAAATGAACAAGACCAATAGTTATTGATACATTTCTCAAACTTCTATATATATATTTAAAGTGTATTAAATGAAATATGTATGTTACCTGCCAACCGGGATGGCGAAGTAGAAAAGTGCTAGCATCTTGGAGCGTATGTTGCCGACAAATAAGTCACTTATGATGGTGGGTGCTATAGTCGAGTATGACGCCTCACCGATGCCGACTAGGCCCCGGAAGAAAGCAAATAACTTGAAGTTCTGAAAATTTATTATAATATTATTAAAGCTTTTTTTAATAATCTTGGGATATTCTAACAAGGTAAACCATATTTGTGTTAGGAGTCAAGTATTACAGCATAATATGTATTATGTATAATATGAATTATGAACCATGACAAAGAACAGATTACGGCATAATATGTATAATGTATGTGTATTATAATTTATCACCATACAAAGACTCAATAAAGAATAACTCTACAGGTAAGAATTCAATGACTCGTCGAAAATTTTTTGTTTACTATTTGTGTTTGGAGTTGGTTCATTTTTGTTGAAAACAATATTCTTATATGATAATTTATACATACTACCGCTTAAATTTGAGCAATGCTTTGCGCTGCAAACATGTGTAAGCAAGTGAAACAATTATTCGAATTGCTTCAATGATTGTATACTGCTCAATAAATTTGGTTCATAGTGAATAAGAAAATATAATGTTAGATGTTATAATTATGCATACATTCAAGAGGAAAAACATCAAATATCCTTACTATTGTTATATGGATTTTATGGTTTACCCCCTACGCAATCAAATATACGTTATAGTATTATTATATTATGTTTATTAATAGAATAAGAATGTATTTAGGTATGCTAATGTTTTGATATATACTTATATTTACCTCTTATTAACGTAGTACTTACAGATATACTAAAATATAACTAATAGGTCATATTTATATTTTTTGATTAGAGTCACAAATGACAAGATATATTAACTGTATTGTAATTGTGTACTATTTATTTATAAATTTGACAGCGTCGGTGGTCTAGTAGTTGAGCACACCGCTTTACTTCCGATGGTCGCGGGATCGATTCCAAAAAAAAATTGTATTCATGAGTATGATTGTTAGTATCGGTGTTTTATATGTATATTATGTATGTATTAACCAAAAATCTTAGTATTTATATTAGTTGTCTAGTACCCATAACACAAGCTCTGCTTACCGTGTGACTAGATAGCGCTGTGTCAATTGACCAGGGTTATTTATTTATTTATAATTTATTTTAAAGATAAAATTTTAAATAAATTACTAATTTAAAAATATGTTTTAATAAATAGATTTTCTATATAACGGAATCACAAATACAGTAAACATTAATAAATAAAATATTAGCAAATACTAACAGTAACGAAGGATCCGATAAATGTGGTGATGCACCAGAGTCCGACCCCAAACGCCATGATGGCGCGTCTCGATTGCCTATCCCCGAGGTAACTGAATATTGGCGCGAACACCATGTACGCCACCACAAAAACAGTCTGAAGGAGTCCGGCACTGTCATCGCCGATGCCAAATTCTTTTTTAACGTCACCCAGCACACCTGAAAATTATAAGAAATCATTCATATAGATTCAGCCAAGACAGTTGTGATTTAGTGTTGCAAATGTATTTTTTTGTTTGGTGTCAATTATATATAAAGTGCATATGAAATTGTAATAATAATATGTTATTTGTATAAACGTTGTGTTTTTGTAAACGAAAAATTTAATAGTAGGTATTATTATTGATATTAGAATAACATTATTAATAGTAATAACTAATTAGCAACTTGGCTATGATTGTTGTCTTTTGAAACAATAGAAATGTTATTTTTTATTTATAAATTATAACTTACAAAGATTTTTTTATACTTCATTTATGGTTATATTTTTATACTGTTTACTGTTTAGTCTGCACTGTTAGAAAATTACTTGGTTCGATACTTAGATATTATAATCTTGTGTGCCTGAGCTCTAAGCTAATATGAATTGTAAAACGTCTTAGTTTAGTGCTTGTTAGGTAAAACAAACGAACAACGCCGTGTAAAAAATGGCCTTGGGAATGTGAATGTCCGCACATTTGCCAAGTAGGTACAAGATTACTTCAACCAGTTTACTATGACCGGAGCTTTTCACTGTATCACGTCATCATGCAATAAGATGCTACTAAGTAGGTACTGACCATAATTCTACGTTCTAAATAAAGGACACACTGGCAAATAGTCATACTAAAAAAGACGTGCGTTCTTATTTTAATACTCTTCAAATAAGTAAAAAAATGTAGACGATGTTAACACGGAGAATTTTTTGTTAGTTAACGTAATGTTAGTCATTATTAAGTTTTTAATAACGCATGACTAACAAAAATAAAGAATATATTTTATTTGAGAATATCTAAATCTAAAAATAGAACTAGTTAGCCTCATATGCTAATTACTAATTTGAGCCGGTGCCAAATAAGTCATAGGTATGTGTGTATCTAAACTAAAATAATAATGCAAAAAGTTGAACTAAAGAGGTACACTTTTGAATAAATAACAGATGAAAATTCGAAAACTATTATTTCAAATAGTAGTTTCTAAATATAGCGCTATATCTAAATCGCACCATAAGAGTTTTAGGTCGGTACCCTAAAATGTTACTACGAAAATATCGATAAGAAAATATTTGCCAAAGCAATGTGAGCAAAGGTGCGGTTTGCAAATATCACACCTTGCCGTCATACGATAAAAAGTAAAAAAATATTCCAATATAAAAATATGGCTATTAAGTATACTTATACTTAATTACAAAACTTTATTGCTAATTATTATCGGAATCAGGTCATTTGTTTATTATTATAGATAACCATACTACACGGACGTGTAAACATACTTGTACCTGCTGATTTTTTTTTTATCCGGTATGTATTATATTGGAGTGCAAGCCAACCTAAAATAACCTATATATAATAATAATAATCTTAGGACAATTCACACATCGCCATGTAGAATAGAGCCAAGTTAAGCTAGCTAAAGCTTGTGTTATGGGTACTAGATAACTGATACAAATAGAAATATATATTTATTTATCGTAAATATATACATATTAAACATGGAAAACACCCAGACCAACACAAATAAACATACTCATGAATACAAAATGTTTGTGTCATGCGAGGAATCGAACCCGCGACCATCAGAAGTAAGGCTATGTGCTAAATCGCAAAACAACCCAGGCCGTCAAAAATATATAATATATTTTTATAATACGAGTATCTTTAAGGACATTAAATGACAAGCCACTACGTTTATTATGCCTATTACCAACTACTTTATTTTGCACAAGTCTTACGACGCCTTTATTTAATTTCTATATAATACTTACTCTTTTACTTAAAATAGCTACATAGGTATAATTTCACAGTCGTAAATACACTACAATCTATTCAGTTAATGAATTTCTTTATTCATTCATCAACGTTCAGTCAAAGTAGTACTCTAATATTGTGCAATTCTGTTATCGAGTTCGTCAACTATTAGTGCTTTCCAAATCACGTGCGAACCTATCCAATAACATGTAAGTATGTAATAATAATAATATTAGATACCTATCAATTTATATATCGTTATAAAGGTACAGTAATTATATATAATAAAAAGTATTATTGCTTATTAATAAGACTCAACAGAAAATATAAGCACTTTATCTCACATATTCAAATACAACAGTTTTTTAACATATTCATTTCATAAAATGCTTTAAAAATAGTTAACCATCTCATCTAAAAATAACATTATATTGAAAACGTTCCCTACTCATAAAGCCCCGTGTCCTATCAATTTGACACCTCTATAAATCATATCTTTTATTACTCAGTCCCCATTGTTTGCTTCTCTGTTATTTGTTGAATCCCCAGCTTGCATTCAATCTATGTTTAAGTGCGTTTATTATTTTTTTCATATGAATAAATAGAATGTATCCATTTTATACCTATACACATATTGTAGAATAGCCGTTGTATAAATAGAAAATGTTTTTACTAATAAAAAAAACGTTGAAACTGTTTTAATATTTCTTATAGCGATCCTATATAGATTTTTCTTTAATTATTCTTATTATTTATTTATATTGTTACCAAAGTAACGGATTACCGTCAAGTGACATAATGATAGTAATATTTTTATTTATAAATATACAATGTAGGGTTCAAACTTCACGGTCGACAAACGAATTGTTTTTTTTAAAAACACAACAAATTCTACGTATGTGTATTGTGTACATATATACATAGTTGCATAACAATTTCATTGAATGTATTCTGCAACGTCATAAACATTAAATAACCTCTTATTTACAATTTTGTCGTACGCAGGTAAACTATGTCTCTTATGTCTCATCCGAAAATTATATAACAAGGGATAAATATATAAACCTACATATATACATACATATATACTTTGTAGTAACGTACCTATAACGATATATTCTATGTCCTATCCGCAGAGACAGTACATGGTATTGATAATTACTTGAACCTTGTCTTTTGTATTATCATTACCCTAATCCCAATTACAGATTTTTTGCTATTATTATAAAATCGATTGATATTATAATGGAAAAAAAATGTTTTAATGGAAAAAAAATTAGGCATATGAGCAGGCACCTGTCCTAATATAATATATACTGCGGTTTTGAACTCAGCGCTTTATAAAAAGAAAGCTGTGAAGTGAATTAGTGGGTACCTACCTAAGAGAGCGAAGTGCCGGTGAAAGTAAAAAGGTAGGAAATAAGAAATAAGATCCATACATTGCAGTGAATGTACTCACTTGCAAGGTGACTAACATAGATTACACTCTTAAATCTATAACTATAAGATATCGATAAGTGTGTCTTTTAATCTCAGATAATTACCTTCCTAGGATATTTCTGAAGAGCTTAAAAGAAAATAGTTTATCAATTTTTTGAACTCATTTAATTTAAATTTGTAACAAGGTGAAAAAGCTAATAAAAAGCCCTTGACAAGTTGAATATGTTTAAAAAAAGATTTCACGGATATCTCTTTAGAGTTACTCGATAAAAATAATATTTGCATCCGAATGTTTCGTGTAGTGGGCGTTGGACGGTAAATGTAGTTTACCATCCATTTGATTGATGTCCCCTCAATCCTCAAAAATATTGCAGATAAGTTCTAAAATTTCGTCAAGATCTAATTTGAAGACAAGTTATATTACCGTAACATACAGACAAAAAAATGTAACGTAGCCAATTTTCACACTATCAAAAAATAGGTGCATAAAAATTAATGCTTTTAGAATTAAGTCTGTATACCGTAGATTATGTGCGAATGAATTTAATTTAAAAGAATTTAGTTCTCGCCTGGCTTCTGTGTAATTTTTGCTGGACTTCAAATAGTAATAGATATCTATCAAGACGTGGCGCCATGCCATTATTCCACTGAAATCTAAATGTCACTCCAACTAAATTAGTGACTACGTAGCGACCACGTGGCTTGTCGGCAGCACAGTCGTAAGTTGATGACGTGAATGCGAACGCAATCAATCACACGGCAAAGGTACATACCTCCACCGATTTCGTATAACATCACGCCACTGGCGTCAACCAATCAGCAAAGAAGCGTTTGTGGCGCGAAACATAATGGCAGCGGGTCGTATCGTATGTTAACAATGCCAATGCGATACGGTATTTACTCTGCACGTCTGTTATGTGAATAAAATTCATAATTCTTATTAATTACATTAAGTACGTTATATTAGCAGACCCCAATTTTACCTAGAATGGGACTTAGTCATATAAAATAGATATAAGAGAAAAGCATCATACAACACTAATGAAGCTGCAAATGTTAAAAGAACTCAAGTTTTCATATAGGAATAACTACCAACTCCACATATTCTTTGTCTGTTGCTTCGGCAGGATTTGTCCTGACCTAATGTAACCGTGAATACGAACAGAATAATTATATATTCTATGCCCTGAATCCATAAAACTAGATTTTACAATATATTCTGTGGACAAAACTGACAATATTAAGAATAATATTGTTAGTACATTTATTTTCATTTTGTTCCATATAAGAACAGCCAAAGCGACAAATGTTATTTTATTATATATATATTTGCAATACTTTTACTAACTTGATAGTTTTTTAATATATGTATATTATTAAAAAACTATCACGTTAGTAAAAGTATTGCAAAAAGAATCAATCAAACACGTTCATTTTGCAGATACTAAAATAAATTAAAACGCCCTCTTTGACAGTCTGTTAAATACATATGGACATTGCGTGGCAAAATTGTTTGTTTCATAAAACAAACTTAGACATAATCTTTGTAACCTTGTAAAAATGTCTAAATTCCTATGGCATAATTAGTTAAATATTAATTAAAGAACTTCATTAGCAATGACAACTGCAGCTTAACAATAAGCAAGGCCAAGCCTCTGCATGTTCAGTACGACAAGTAGGACACCTAGTTGAAAGACATGTAAATATTGCACAGCCTTCACAAGAGTGTAAAACGATTTATTATCTACTTGCTTGTCACTTGCTTAACCTATC